TGCAAAACAGTAAAAATTGTTTTTGTTTAGCACCATTAAAAATGTTTAAATGTCAGTATTAATGCAGTTATTAATGGTACGCTTTTTATTTTGAAGTAAAAATTCAGAGAGTCACTTTGTACATTGTACACATCCAAAGTACACATCCAAAGTACACATCCAAAGTGACAGTTTTGTTTAAAATTTACCTAAACATTACGTTTTCGGCTGCTTCTGCCATCTACTGGACATATAGTGCTACTGGATCTTCAGAGTCCTATTCTCAGCCAGAGTGTTTATTCAGGATTCCAATAGGATTTTAAAAATATATTTGTATTTAAATCATGTCATAATTGATTTCTTCACAGTACTTAAAAATATAGGGTCACCTCGGTGGCTCAGTTGGTTAAGCGTCCGACTTCGGCTCAGATCATGATCTCACGGTTCTGGTGAGTTCAATGAGCCCCGCATCGGGCTCTGTGCTGACAGCTCAGAGCCTGGAGCCTACTTCGGATTCTATGTCTCCCTCTCTCTTTGCCCCTCCCCCACTCATGCTCTGTCTCTGTCTCTCTCACTCCAAAATAAGCAAACATTTAACAAATAAATAAATAAATGTTTTGGCAATTTCTCTATTACACATGAATTGTTATGTTGCTAAGTCATAATTTTGAAGAGAAGCAGTTTCCCCCACAAAATCATTGTGCTCTTTTCGATTTAAGATACGTATAATTTGGAAGTGTGATTAGTGCCCAGCAGAGCAGGTCTTGAGATGCCTCGTAAATCATCTGCACTGGCTGTTTGAGAAGTAGTTCAGTGGTAGCTCCAGGACTGGACTAGGCCCATCCAGGTCTGGCCTGAGCCAGGATGGCAAAACAGCAGAGCAACTTCATGTGCTGGGGCTTTAGAAATGACAGATTTTTTTTTTTTTCTGAATTAGTTCAATTGAGGTACTCAGAGTCCACCTGCTATCTAACTGCCTTCCCTCTATCATAAGAAAGAATTTAATCTGTTAATTACACGTTCCCAGAGGCCTGAAAGCAGTCAATGCTAGATGGCTTCAAATGGGGCCGTCTCAATCCGTGTAAATAGGGCTACTGGAATTAGTGGAAACAAACAAAACACCAAGTCAAACTGAATAAAAAAAAATTAGATAATTAAATGGGAATTTCAAATAGATAATTTTTTATTAAATATGGCCCAAATAATCATGAGACATAGTTATACAAAAGTGTTCTGCATTTTATCTGGCGCCTTTAATATATAATTCATTTCAATTTCACAAATATTTAGAGAGCATACTATCTGAAAGAAAAGAGGAATGGATCTTGGTACAAAGTCAGCAAACTGTGTCTACTAAAACAGAAGTTTGCTGGGAAAATCTCAGTAATAGACCACTAAATGCCAATAATGTTTTGCTTTAATTTAGGAGTATTCTTTCATATGATCAATGTGGTCAAAAATCTCTTTCTAGAGGAGTTTTAACACTAGAAAAAACTGAAGTTTAGAAAATGTCCTAAGATATCTAGTTAAAAATATTTACTTACTTTGGTACACCTGGGAGGCTCAGTCAGGCAGCCAGCTGTTGGTTCCAGCTCAGGCCATGATCTCATGGTTTGTGAGTTGGAGCTCCACATAGGGTTCTGCGCTGACAGTGCAATGCTTGCTTGGGATTCTCTCTCCCTCTGCCCCTCCCCTACTTATTCCCTCTCTCTCTCTCTCTCAAAATAAATAAAGTTTAAAAAGTATCTATTTACTTATTTTATTTTCGGGAGAGCAAGAGTATGCACATGAGTGTGGGAGAGGGGCAGAGGGAAAGAGAGAATCCCAAGCAGGTTCCGTGGTCAGCACAGGGCCTGATGTAGGGCTCAACACAGGACTCGACACAGGGCTCAATCCCACAACCCTGAGATCTTGAACTGTGCTGAAATTGAAAGTCGGATGCTGAACCTACTGAGCCACCCAGGTGCCACAAAAAATATTTAAATGTAATATAGATTGTTTAATGTATCCCCCTTGGGAGGACTATAGCGTTCACAGTTTGACTCTGTTGGTTTGTATGATTGTAGCCCCTCCTGATCAGTGGAAGAGGAAGACAGCAAATCCTTACAATGAGTGACAAAAGAGAAAATGTATTCAGGAGGCGTGGAAGCACAGCTTCAAACAATGAGGAATAAGTGAGGCCTCTGTGAGAAACAAGTGAGGAGCAACTGAGAGTGTAACCCTGATTCCCTTTTAAAAAAAACTTTTCTTAATGTTTATTTTTGAGAGACAGAGAGAGAGAGAGAGAGAGAGAGAGAGAGAGACAGAGACAAGGCACAAACAAGGGAGCAGCACAGAAAGAGGGAGACACAGAATCCGAAGCAGGCTCCAGGCTCTGAGCTGTCAGCACAGAGCCCGATGCGGGGCTTGAACTCATGAACTGCGAGATCATGACCTGAACCGAAGTCAGATGCTTAACCAACTGAGCCACGCAGGCACCCAACCCTGAGTCCCTTTTAATGAAGAGGTACAGGGGGTAAAATTTCACACTAATCCAAAATCACAATCAGAACTAGTGAACAAAACAGCTTCAAATCAAGGGATAGTTCTCATGGATAGTGTAGAATACACAATTTATGTTGGTCTTCTAAGTCACACCCTCAGCTAATACTTGCTATTATCAACAACTTTTAAGTCAATTCCCAAAATATTTGTCTACAAAGTGTTTTCAAAGAGTTGAAAGTATGGGGATCAAACATGACCAAAATACAAGCCAGAATATAACTGTGGTCAGGGTGCTACATGTTTCAAAAATGAATTGATCCCATTTGGTTAAGAGGTCACAAAGGAGACGGTGTTTCAGAATAATATAAACATGTTGTTAACCAATGTGCAGTTGAGACTTTATTATATAATAAAAACAAAATTCCATATCTTTAGGAGAGGAAAAGCTGAACTTACACAGGATTTTCTATTTCTGTTCTGTTCCTAATAATAAGATGAAGCATTTGACAGAAGAATGTTGATGAAATAGACTTTGCCTGTATCTGATTTCAAGTAGCTAAGTCCTCAGGGGCTTTTTTTTTTTTTTTTTTTTTTAAGTTCATTTATTTTGAAAGAGAGGGAGAGAGTGTGCTCATGAGCAGGGGAGGGGCAGAGAGACAGAGGAGGGGTGGGGGTGGGGAGAGAGAGAGAGAGAGAGAGAGAATCCTAAGCAGGCTCCACACTGTCAGTGCAGAGCCTGATGCGGGGCTTGAACTCGAAGTGATCTTTGGACCATGCATCCATACCCATGCCCATTGCCATCTGGAAGCAGCTGGTATTAGAGAATAATGGACTGGCCTTCTGAAAACTCAGATATAATGCCTACTGCAAGGCAACATCTTGAGCAGTTAGGGTTCTATCTTTTCAGATTATGTATATGTTTTGAATACAAAATGGCCCATTTCTCTCAAAGCAAAATGAGAGATGGAGGGGAAATAGAATGCTCCATTCTCATTACCCTTATGTGGAGGTTTTAGGGTTCAAGGGAAGAACAATGTTTCTACTAGGAAACAAACAATCATGATTCCACTGGTTATCTATCTAAAGATTGAATAATGATCTTTGTTCTTTCATATTTTCATTTCATTTTAAGAAGCTGTCTTCCCTTTCTATCCACTACTGTTTAGAGCAGGTACATTTGTAATTAAGCCCATCAGTCACCTTGAGGTGATTATGAAGGAACTATAGGAAGAATGGTCATCATCACCGCAAGACTCTCAGAAAAACTGTTTTTCCATGAGATGGAACTCTTGCAATGAAGCTCATCTATTAAGGAGAGCGCTCTGGTATCTGCTGTCCATGGCATGCGCCCTGCCATAGCTTCAGGTTTTCAAGAACCATACATTTTGTTCTCTGTCCTTTGATCTGGGTCTTTTCTGGTCCACTGGCAACCTCCACCGTGTTTCTAACTCCTGGTCCAGTGTTGTTTAAGGGCAAGACTTATGTATAGGCAACCAAAGCCATAAAAAGAGTTCTTGGAACCGTTTTTGCACAGCACTGAAAAACGATAGCTTCTCTCCAAATATCCTAACTTGACAAAGGCGCTATTAGGCGAATCTTCATGCCTGCTATGAATGGGATGTTCATAATTACCCCAGGACTTCAGTGAGTTCTTGTGCTTCTTTCTCTCGCTCTAAAATGAGCATTTTCTCATCTAAATCTACTTCTGGGTATTGTTGGGGGAAAGTTCCTGGCATTTGTTGGAGAATGCCAGCCGTAATACAAGCAAAGATATAAACAGCCTAACAGGTTAAAACTATGTTCAGCTGCTGTGGAATATCTGAATGTATCCGCTCCCCCGACTGACCATCGTATTACTGTTTCTTTAAATATCTTGAAACGTAAATGCATTTGTCCAACCAGTTTGGGGAGTTAAAAACAAAGTTCCAAGCACAAGCTTTCTTGTAATGAGACGTGGCCTACTACACCGAAGCGCCACCCAGAGCGTTTTACCGCTGCCTGAAATCACCCGGCACGCAGGTACCGAGAGGAGTTCGGAGCCCTGGCTTCCAGATGGCCTCCAGTCCATCTCGGGGGCCTCAGCTTCCTCTCTGTAAAGTGGGGCGCGGATGGGGTTCGGATCTGGAAGATGTGGCCGACGCTACTCTCCGACTAAGTCGGAAGACAAAAGCCTCGGCCAGCCCCCTGCGCTCCCACCTTTCGGAAGGGGCGGGCGAAGGGAGGGGCTTCGGCAAACGGCTGGAGCGGGCCCGGAGCGAGGGCTGTAGGCGGTGCCACCCGCGGCGACTCCCCTTCCTGCCCGCGCAGGCCCAGGCACGCTCGCAAAACGCTCCGGCTGCCCTTCGCTCCCGGCTCTCTGGTTCCCGGGCCACCCGGGGGGACGCGGTTGGCGGCGACACCGGAGGGGGGCGGGTCAGGAAGTGGGGGCGCGGCGGCCGGGAGCTGTCCTGGGGCTGCCGAGGGGCTCGGCGACGCTGAGGACCGGCGACTCCGGGCCGCGCGGGAGCCTGAGGGGCGCCGGGACCTCCGCGGAGACGATGGCGGAGGAAGAAGGTGACGGCCCCGGGGTCCAGCGCGCCAACTGTCGCTCGTGGTCGCGGGAAAGAGGGGCGGGGGCGCGAGGGGCCCAGAGGCCTGGGCTGCGGGCGGTCAGCGGCCGCGGCCGCGCGGGGTGGGGGGCGGAAAGAAGCGGGGCGGCGGCGGCGTGGGGACATTTAGGAGCGGAGTGAGTGGCCTGAAGTTTTGTCCGCCTCAGTGGGAAGCAAAGGTGGAGCTTAAAGTTGGGAATCGGGCTGGTAGAGAAAAAGCTGCGGGTGGGAGGAGTGCTTGAGAGGGGAGGCCACTAGCAGATAATTAATGGGGTGGGGAGCATAGTTTGGTTTAGAAGATGGAGGCTTGGGCACTGAGTGCATATTTGAAAGTGAGAGTGTTTAACCAAATGCCTCTCATTCTGAGTGCCCTCTTCAGAGGTCTGTGGACGCTGATAAATACGAAGTCACAGGGCGAGAGGAGCCGCACGCCTAGAGTGTAGAAAGAGGAGGGGGTTGGGGAGGGGAAACTGAAGAAGGCCTGGTCACTTACAGGTTAGGGGAAGGTGGCAAAGGCTGAAGGGTGTAAGTATAAGGGTGTAAGGATTAGGAAGCCACGAGTGCTTTGAGGGTGAAAGTGGGTGGGCCGGAGAAAGCTTTCCATGCCCCCACAGGGCCAATGTTAAGAAAATTAAGCCCTTCAGTAATATTTAAAATGATAAGTATGAGAGACAATTGGGGAGTTGGAGGAATTGATCAGCTAGTGATAGATATCACAGGAAGCATTCATGGCATAACAACTTCATAATACCCGTGCTAGTGTCAGGAACAGGTCTATTTGATGGTGTCGCTTGACTGAGCAGTTAGATTTTGCATCCTGGTGGGAAACATGACTTTTTACTTTCTTGAGTGCGGTTGTGAATGTGATCTCATTTAGATTTAAACCTTTATTGAACCAAGAGTGCAAGGAGGGAATTTCAAGAATTCGGTGGAAAGTGATATTTAAAACATTGTTTATTGCTCTTTGGCGTTCTGCCTTGTCTCTGTCTATGCTCACACTGACTTCATTATCTGCCTCCTCTTTTTTGAGTTCTCAGAGTGTTAAAGCTGATCTAAATTTAAGACATTCTTCCTAATATACAACTTCAAAACCAGTGCTGTTTGTAGTTGATAAGGGATAAGTAATTCCATTTGTTACCTTGGTTTTATTTTTGGTTGCAGTAGTTTAAAACATTTCTTGATTTTTTTTTTTCCTTTTCTGACTACTTGCAAATCTGTGGAGTAAGTTGATAAGCTAGCTTGTATGTTTCCATGAGCCCTTTCATGCTTAATCTAAAGCAGGAAAAAAGTACTGCAATACTAAAAGTCTTTAATATTTTGCATCATGCAAAATGAGAAATTGCTTTAGGATATTATGGTTACACTTAATTAAATCAATACCACACTATTCTGTAAAATTTACTCATGGGATAAAAAAGGAAAAATGATTTTTCATTGTAGAATTACAGATAAGCAAATACATGTTAAATGGAACAATTAATGGATTGAAGTTTTCTTAAAATATAGTTTCATTCAACAAATTTTTCAATTCTGTGAACATTTGGTGCCTACTATGTTAGGTGCTGGGATATAATAGTCAGCAATGAATAATTATATTCTTATTTATTAAAATAATGCTAGTAATGATAATATTTATAGCAAACATGTCTGTGTGCTAGGCATTATTTTGTGTGCCTTACGTTTATTTGGCCCTCTAAATTTTTTCAAAATACATATTATCTTAAAATTAGTCTACATGGTGTATTTTACTTGTATCCATATCTTCCCTAGATCCCTTTTTTGTTATCATTCACATTCACTTGGATCCTTTTCATTGTCCCACTGTTACTCCACGTACATAATTTTGAGAATCTCATGTTATGAAAAATGTCTTTCTTGATGCAGTAGAGCCTCAGGTTGTTCATACTTAAGGCTTCCTGAAAGAAATGTTAGAACAAACAAGTGACAACTTTGAATACAGCAGTATTAACACTTCATGTGGAATAGTTTGGATGGACATTTGCTGGCCTATTTGTAGCTCTGCTCACTATCTCATGTGAAGGTCGCTGGACCAGAGACTGAAATACTGGGTTATTTTTGTGGCTATGTTGTCATTTTCGTTTTATTTTTTAAGTTTATTTATTTATTTTGAGAGAGAGAGTGTGTAAACGAACCATGGGGGAGGGGCCGAGAGACAGGGAGCGATAGAGAACCCCAGGCAGGCTCTGCATTGCACTGTCAGCACAACGCTGGATGCAGGGCTCGAACTCCCTAACTGTGAGATTGTAATCTGAGCCTGAGTTGGGTACTTAACCAACTTAAGTGCCCCTTTATGTTATCATTTTCATTTAGTTTGACTTTAAAAAAATATGTATTTGTTTATTTTGAGAGAGAGTGCATGTAAGGGCAGAGAGAGAGAGAGAGAGAAAGAAAAAATCTTAAGCAGGCTCTGTGCCGTGACCGCAGAGCTCATGGTTCATGAGATCATGGCCTGAGCTGAGATCAAGAGTTCTATGCTTGGGGCACCTGGGTGGCTCACTCAGTTAAGCGCCTGACTTCGGCTCAGGTCATGATCTCACGGTTTGTGGGTTTGAGCCCACGTCGGGCTCTGTGCTGACAGCTCAGAGCCTGGAGCCTGCTTCGGATTCTGTGTCTCCCTCTGTCTCTGCCCCTCCCCTGCTCACGCTGTGTCTCTGTCTCTCAAAAGTGAACAAACGTTTTAAAAACTTGAAAAAAGTTTTATGCTTAACTGACTGAGCCACCCAGGTGCCCCTTGTTGGGTGCTTTTAACTTTTCTTTTATCACAGAGCAGGGGAAAACAAATTTTTTTTTTAGTTTATTTAATTTATTTTGAGAGAGAGGAAGAGAGGGAGAATCCCAAGTAGGCTCCGTGCTGTCAGCATGAACCATGAACATCATGATCAGAGCAGAAACCAATAGGGGCACCTGGCTGACTTAGTTGGAGGAGCATGCAGCTTTGTTTCTCAGGGGCATGAGTTCAAGCACCATTTGGGTATAGACATTTAGAAAAAAATAAATTAAGAAAATGTGTATTTGTTTTTTCATTTTCCACAGGAAAGCTAGAGGATTTTTTTAAAGGAATTTTTAAAAGTTTTATTTATTTAAGTAATATCTGCACCCCACATGGTGTTCAAACCCATGACCCCAAGATCAGGAGTCACGTGCTCCTCCGACTGAGCCAACCTGGTGCCCCTCCACTGTAAAGGTAGAACCCTTCATCTGATCAACAGTAGCTGATTCATTTTCCTTTTGTGACTTGTCTTTTTAGGCTCACATTTCATAGCCTAAAGTCATTCCTAAGAGAAAAGAAAACTCTCCTCTGCTCCGTTAAGAAGGAAATAAATTCTTGAACCATCTTATAAGGTTGGGAGGACAGTCTGCACCTACACGACAGTCATAGTCGACTCTATGAGATAATTCTAGGAAGGAAACGTAGTTAGGTTGAATATAGTAAATTCTTGTTTCATTCGGAATTTAGTTTACTAATTTGGAGGTACTTTTTGCTTTACATTTTTTATCAGACATAGAAAGGGTAGTCTAATATTGGGAAATTTTCTGACAACTTCCCACATATAGGGATATTTATAGGTTCAGCCTATTTCTAACACCTAAATCTATAAAACAATGTATTACAATGGCAATACCATAGCACTGTGAAATTCTGCAGAGCTTGCAGGATTATTTTAAAAATGAAGTATAATTTTATGATCAATGTATTTTATTATATTCAAATTTTAAAAAATGGTTAATCCTTGAATGATGAATGTGATACTCTCAGGTAACTAGAATATTATGCTAATGTATTAAATAACACCTTGTTCCCCAGTCATTCTAGAAAGGAGTTTACTTATTTTGGGATATTTGAAAATAACATTATCTCAGGAGAAGAGCTTGTTGATTTATCACTAGGACTCTGAAAGCACAGATGGCAGACAGAACCTAATTTTTTTTTTTGTATGAAAGATTGTTTTTCAAGAAGTGCTAAAATAATTGTGGAAAAAAGTTATCTTTGATACTAAAAGATCTCTATGTGACTCATTGCCCTATTATAATAAAAGTGAATTCGTTTGGATTACAGATTAGAACAGCTTGATACACATGTTGCAATAACTTCTTAAATATTTTAAGGACCAACTGTAGAACTGCGCCAGAGAAGAAAGCTGAAGTCTTCAGAAAATAAGGAATCTGCCAAAGAAGAGAAAATTCGCGATACTCCAATGCCTGAAAGAGCTCCAAAACGTAAGTTAGATAAATTTGTTTTCATGCCACTATAAAAATGTTTTTTTATACATTAGGTAGTATATTTTATATTAATGTTTTAAATGTTTATGCCTATTTTGAGATTAATTGTATGGTGTTGGCAGTCAACTTTCATAGGTTTTGTTGTAGAACAAACCCTAAATCTCACTGGCTTACAAAAGACACTTATTTCTGACTAATGTTACGTGTTGTGGCTGCAGGTTGGCTGGTTTAGCTTCATGTATCTTGAAGGAACAGCCCCTATTTGGGATATGGTTTTCTTATGGCAGAAGAAAAGAACAGGAGAACAGGCAGAATCATTCGGTGTCTCTTAAAGTTTCTGTTGAACTGGCACACCGTTACTTGTAGTCACATTCTGTTGACCCAAGTAAGTCACATAAGTTACATAATTAATCCAGACAATGAGATGGAGAAGTATACTCTGACTACAGGGATGCATTGCAAGTCACATGGTAGTGGGCAGAGATGAATAATCTTTTTATAAGAAAGGACAAAATAAGTGGGAATAATAGTAACAGTCTACCACATTCTGTCCTTTTAGTCATAAATATTTGCTTTTCTCCGTCAGACAAAATACTCTCACTACCTCTCTGACCCAGGAAGACACTCAGTCTTACCCGGTCATGGCATCAGTCTTGAGGCCCAAGGTCTTGTTCAGGGCCAGCTATGATTCATTCTAGTCCAGAGACCCATGAATTAAAAAGATAAATTATGTGCTCTGTGTCAGGGGTCTCCAAGACCACCCCCGTTTGGTGATGAGCTAGAAGGACTTACAGCCTCAGAATATTTACAGCTGTGATTTATTACAGTGAACAGTACAAAACAAAATCAGCAAAGGGAAAGGTCTGTGGGCCAAAATCTGTATCATCTAGGCATAAGCTTCCCTGATTCCTTTCCTAATGGAGTTATACAAGATGTGCTTAACTCCTTCAAGCATCAAATTGTGACATTTGTAAAGTTTTGTCTACCAGGGAAGCTCGTTAATGGCTCTGCACAGAATATGTGTGGGTGTGTGTGTGTGTGTGTGTGTGTGTGTGTGTGTTTTAATTTATTTTGAGATAGAGTGCGAGTAGGGGAGGGGCATAGAGAGAGTGAGAGAGAGAATCCCAAGCAGGCTCTGCACTGTCAGAGCAGAGCCTGATGCAGGGCTTGAACTCACGGACTGTGAGATTGTGACCTGGGCTGAAGTTGGACACTTAACCGACTGAGCCACCCAGGGTCCCCTGCACAGAGTTTTTACTGTTAGCTGGTCGCCATACCTTTTCCTACCACATACCCAAACTAGATTCCCAGAAGGAAAGCAATGAGCATGAACCACATTGTTTGTACAAACAGGTCAGGTACAGTAAACTAACATGAGAGAATGGTGATAACCCTCCTGAAATCCAAGTTCCCAGATTCCAGCAGAGTTTACCTTGCAAGCAGACCTTTCTTGGCAAAGTAATTGTAGAGCTGCTATGCTATGTTAACTTTTCTTTCCTCAGAGGAAGAGAGATGTACATCAGCCACTGGTTCATAGCAGTTTTGAAATCCTACAAGATAAATATGAGGTCTTACTCTGGTGTAGGGATGTTTCTTGATTAGGCCCCAGTTGTTTACCTTGGGAGTAGCTTCATTATTCTGTGTGGTCCTTGAGTCCACCCTCTAGAGGTCCTTCCTTTTCTGTTATCCTGCTGAACCATATATGAAGATGGCTTTGGAGAACATGCCATCCTTAGGGACTGAAATGCCTTCTCAAATTGCTTCTTGCCCATAAAGAGTCGAAGGCACATTTATATATATTTTTCTCAAATAAGGTAAAGGCAGTGGGTCATCTATAGAGCTAGTTTAGGGGCTAGCAGCAAGAAAATTTTTTGGAAGCTGGAAAAATAATAATCCATGTTATGCAGTGACAAAACATTTGTATCTGTTTCCTGTGAATAGTTACAATTTTAATACTAAATTTTTTTATTATTTTAGGTAACAAGATTATAAAACAGAATGTTACTAGAGTGCCTTGGTTATCAGCTGCATTTGATTACAAGAAAGATGAATTTAAAACATTTGGCCTATTTGCAAGCGGGAATGAAGAGAAAAATAGAGAACCCAAATTTTCTGGGACTTGTAGTGTTGAGTTAGAACTGTCTATTTCAGCTAGTAAAATCGAGAAAATTGAGAAATACTTTGAGTAACAAAGGCTGATTAAGATGAATCCTCAGGGCAATGACTAAATCAGGGGCATGGCTGTCAGCACATAGTTTGTTAAAATATATGAATGCATTAAGGTATTTCCTAGTAAATCCTTTCAGTTGGATAAAGTAAGATAGAGTGTGGTTCTACAAAAGCTCAAATACATGTAGTTAAACCTTGCCAAGACTCATCTAGAAATAAAATTGTGGTTACAGTAGTCCCCCACCTTATCCAGTAGTTTCAGTTTCCATGGATTCAGTTATCTGGTCAATCAGAGTTTGGAAGCAGATGATCTGCTTTCTGACGCATTGTCAAAGTATGTACTGTTAGCAGTGTAATGCTATGTCACACTCACAATGCCTTGTCATTCTTCTCACTTCATCTCATCACATGGGAATTTTATCATCTCCTATCATCACAAGAAGTAAAGTGAGTACAGTACAATAAGATATTTTAAGAGAGAGACCATGTTCACATAACTTTTATTACAGCATATTGTTATAGTTGTATTTTATTATTAGCTATTATTGTTAATCTCTTACTGTGTCTAATTAATAAATTGAACTTTATCCTAGGTGTGTATGTATAGGAAAAAACATAGCATATCTAGGGTTCACTACTAGAATTCAGTTTGAGGCATCTGCTAAGGATCTTGGAATATATCCCCCACAGACAGTGGGGAGGGGGACTACTGTGTAGTTGTTGGAACATGGAACTGAATAGAATCGAGTAGGTAAAAAGCTAACAAAATTGTTTTTTTCTTTGCAAAAATAAGTGATTTAACTGTTAAAAATTAAGGTACAGGCATACCGCCTTTAATTGTGCTTCATGTTGTACTTTGCAGATTATCTTTTTTTTCTGTTTTGTTTTTTTGTTTTTTTTGTTTTTAAATATTTATTTTTGAGAGACAGAGCATGAGAGGAGCAGAGAGAGAGGGAGACACAGAATCTAAAGCAGGGTCCAGGCTCTGAGCTGTCAGCACAGAGCCCGATGCGGGGCTCGAACCCACGAACCTGAGATCATGACCTGAGCCGAAGTCGAAGGCTTAACCGACTGAGCCACCCAGGCGCCCCTGTTTTTTTGTTTTTTTAATGAGTTGAAGGTTAGTGGCAAGCAAGTCTATTGGCTCCATTTTTCCAACACCGTTTGCTAACTTTATGTCTCTGTGTCACATTTTGTTAATTCTTGCAGTGTATTATCATTGTATTTCTTGTGGTGATCTGTGATCAGTGATTGTGACTCATTGACAGCTCAGGCGATGGTTAGCTTATTTTAGCGTTAATTAAGATAGGTATGTTGTTTTTATAGATGTAATGTTATCGCACACTTAATAGGCTACAGTATAGTGTAAACATAACTTTTATATATACTGGGAAACCAAAAAAATTAATTTGATTCACTTTATGACAGTATTCACTTTATTGTAGTGGTCTGGAACTGCACTGAGGTATAGCTGTATAGTTAACATATTAAAAAATGCCCAGAATCTTAGGTGTTTTATTAAATGAGTTTTGACATCTTAGTCCAATTAACAAGATACAGAACATTTCCGTTATCCCAGAAAGTTTCTTTGTATCCCTTCCAGTAGATTTTCCCTGTACCCCCTAAGACAACCACTCTTCGGATACTTATCAATATTGATTAATTAGTTTTGCATGTTGTAGAATTTCATGTAAGTGGAATCATACAACATGTGTGCTTTTGTGTCTGGATTTTTTCACTTAGCATTTTATCCTTTAAAAATATAATCATTTTGGGGCACCTGCGTGGCTCAGTTGGTTAAGCATCCGACTTCGAAGGGCTCAGGTCATGATCTCGCGGTCCGTGGGTTCGAGCCCCGCGTCGGGACTGACAGCTCAGAGCCTGGAGCCTGTTTCAGATTCTGTGTCTCCCTCTTTCTCTGACCCTCCCCTGTTCATGCTGTCTCTCTGTCTCAAAAATAAATAAATGTTAAAACAAATTAAAAAAAATATATATATATAATCATTTTGAGATTCATTCATGTTGCTGTAATTTTCTAACTATTTTCTTGTTGGACATTTGAGTAGTTTTCAGTATTTAGCTATTATGAATAAGGCTTCTGTGAACATAGTTCTACAGATATTTTTGTGGACATTTGTTCTTTTTTTTCTGTTAGGTAAATATCTAGGAGAATTGCCTGCTAAGCTTTTGAGAGATGTATTGTTTTGTTTTTTTGTTTGCTTTTTTTTTTTAACGTTTATCTGTTTTTTGAGAGAGAGAGAGAGAAAGAGAGAGAGAACGTGAGTGGGGAGAAGGGCAGAGAGAGAGAGGGAGACGGAATCCAAAGCAGGCTCCTCACTCTGAGCTGTCAGCACAGAGCCTGACGTGGGACTTGTACTCACAGACCGTGAGACCATGACCTGAGCCAAAGTTGGACATTTAACTGAGCCACCCAGGCACCCCAAGAGAGATGTACTATTAAAAGAAGTATCAGCCTAAATTTAAGAGGATGCAACTATTCAGATCTTAAAATGATGTATACATGCAGGAAACAAGCTGAATAAGCTGCTCTTAGGATGTTTTTCTTGAAAAGCAGTGAGAGTGTTTTGCCTTTGGGCAGGAAATGAGTGTTTGTGATAAGTGGGGCAGACCCTGGTGGACTCTTTTACTGTTCCCAAATATTTGCTCCCTTCCCTAAAATAAATTATCCATTCCTTCCCATTGCCATGTGATTTGGAGCGCAGTCTCTGAAGCAGTGTTTACTTCACTACCTCATTGTCAGGCTTATCCACATGACTCACGTGGACCAATGGGATGTGAGTGGAAGCAACACTGTACTAGTTTTGACCAGAAACTGTAAGAGGCATTGTATGCTCTGCCTGTTCTCCTGCTCTTTTCCTCATGAGAATAGCATGTCTCAAATAGGGATTGACCCCAATCTGGAACTCTGAAGAAGATCCAAGAAGAACCACAGCTAATCTGAAGTCTGGAATTGGGTGGAGAGTCACTGCAGACCCAATACCAACAAGTAGCATAAGTGAGAACTAAACCTTTATTTTGTAAGCCACTAATAATTTGGGGTACCTTTTTTTTTAATCACAGCAAAGCTTACTAATAGAGTGGTTATTTAAAACATTTTGGAAAATACAATATAAGAAAGATTAAATTAAACAATCTAGAGATAACTAGAGATAACTACTATAAAATAGTATTTCCCCCTGACTACAAAAATATATTTTTAGGGCAGAAAATATGGAAAATGGAGAAAAGTATAATAAAAATAAAATATATGAATAATGCCAGTAGATGGAACTACTCTTAAAAGTTTTGGCAAGTATTGCTTGTATTTTTTTGAATGCAGTTATACTTTTCCTTTTCTTTCCTTTTTTTAACTTTTTGTGAAATTGAATCTTACATTTCTTTTCCTAACATGTCATTAGATTTTTCGTTAGCTTTAAATATTACTTAACTATGACCTGTGTTACTGATACAGACATTTATGTAGTGCTCTTTTTTTTATTCCATTTTTGACTCTTCACAAAAAACTTTGAAAACAGCGTATTTAGTATTAAGGTAAGACATTTATATGTAGGATTTGGTTTACATACTTTTTATAATAGCCCCAGATAATTAGGGTTAATTTGCCATTATCTAAGACTTAATGAAAAAAACAGGAAGAGATACATGTTCAGAAACTTGGAAGAACTTTTGTTAAACTGCCACCATTGATAAGTTTCCTTACCAGTTTTTTATAGTTCATATTATGTCAACATTGCTTTAAATGACTATCTTATATATTTTTGCACATATATTTCAACCATAATAGCTAGTATTTACTGAGCTCTTACTATGTGCCAGGCCAAATGCTTTACACATGCTGTTGAAAACAGTAATTTTATTTATTATTTTGAAATGTTTATTTATTTTGAGGGCCAGAGAGCAAGCAGGGGAGGGGCAGAGACAGAGGGAGAGAGAGAATCCCAAACAGCCTCCACACTGTCAGCATAGAGTCTGATATAGGGCTTGAACTCATGAATTGTGAGAGCATGACCTGAGCCGAAATCCAGAGTTGGACGCTTCACTGACTGATCCAGCCAGGTGCCTCTGAAAACAGTAATTTTAAAATGATTTTGTTATACTGATACTAATATTTGATTTATTGAGTAGTGTTTCTAAAGCATTTTTTTTTATAAAATTTTTTATTTTTTTAACGTTTATTTATTTTTGAGACAGAGAGAGACAGAGCATGACCGGGGGAGGATCAGAGAGAGGGAGACACAGAATCTGAAACAGGCTCCAGGCTCTGAGCTGTCAGCACAGAGCCCGACGCGGGGCTCGAACTCACAGAGCGTGAGATCATGACCTGAGCCGAAGTCGGCCGCTCAACCGACTGAGCCACCCAGGCGCCCCTCTAAAGCATTTTGAATATAATTCTCATAGACTTACTGATATCTTTTTTAAAAGTAATCTCTACACCTAACATGGGGCTTGAACTCACAGCCCTGAGATCTAGAGTCCCATGCTCTACTGATTGAGCCAGCCAGGTGCCCTGACTTAGTGATATCTAACTATTTAGTCTGCTTAATGTCTCTAGTATTATATGAAAACTAGTATTTATTAAATAATATTTTGAAAATGGTTAAGATTTTAGTTTAGCTAAATGAACAAATCAGCAAGTTGAGTTTTTTACAGACCTGTCAGTCATTCAGTAACAGAACACTGGACTTTGGGCCCTTACGCCTTATTATTCCTAATAGCTATAGCAGGACCAAATCATCCTGTGTGTAGAAAATCCAAATGTGTTTTATGTTGTTTCATCAAGAAGTAGTTATATATATGTAATAGTTGTATATGATGTTTTAAATACATAATCATCAAAGATCATTGAATTATATACTTTAAATGGCTATATAATGTGTAAATTATTCCTCAAGAAAAAAAACTCCTTGATAAGGAAAAGCTATCAATAGTAATTCTGAATGAACCCCTATCTTTCCTTTAGATATTTCGTAGTACATTACTTTTATTCTTTCTTTTGATTAATAGATTTTAATTTTTGAAACCTTTTTTGATTTATAGAAGAACTGAACAGATAGTGTAGAGTTCCCTTGTTATACCCTCCCTCTGCCCACACAGTTTTCCCTCTTATTAACGTTTTATATTAGTATGGTATACTTGTTATAATTAACAAACCAATGTTGATACACTTATTTTTATTTTATTTTTATTTTTAAGTTTATTTATTTTGAGAGAGAGAAAGCAAGCTGGGGAGGGGCGGGGGGGGGGGGGGGGGGGGAGAGAGAGAGAGAGAATGAGAATGAGAATCCCAAACAGGCTCCACACTGTGGCACAGAGCCCGACGCAGGTCTCAAACTCATGACCCATGAGATCATGATATGAGCCAAAGTCAGAGGTTTAACCAACTGAGCCACCCAGGTGCTCCGATACAGTATTTTTAACTAAAGTCCACACTTTATTCAGATTTGTTTAGTTATTACCTAATGTCCTTTTTCTGTTCCAGGATCCTACATTACATTTAGTTGACATTACATTTAGACTCCTCTTGGCTGTGGCAGTTTTTTTAGGCTTTCCTTGTTTTTAGTGACCTTGACAGTTTTGAAGAGTACTGGTCAGGTATATTTAGGATGCCCCTCTATTCGAATTTGCTGTTTTTCTCATTAGATTAAGGTTCTAGATTTGGGGGAGGAAGAACAGAGTTAGAGTTGGTTACTTTTTAAAAATAGAAGTGCATGAATATAAATATCATCTACATCTGATTACTTTTAATATGCTTTTTCAGATGTATTATTTCAGCGCTTTGCAAAGATTTTCATTGGCTGTCTTGCAGCAGTTACTAGTGGTATGATGTATGCTCTGTATTTATCAGCATACCATGAACGGAAATTCTGGTTTTCCAACAGGCAGGTAAGAAGAAAGAATTTTGAGCATATGGAAGTTGTTTTAGTATTTAATTTTAACTTATGTAATGTGTTTTACAGGGAGCCAAAATATATGTATGATAAGTATGAAAAGTGCTTTCTTATTTACAGCCATTAGAAACAAAATGGTGTAGAAGCTGTTTTAACATAGTCACAGGGTCAACCTTGAAAAATGTAATACAATATATTTCAAGGCCATAGAATAGAGACTATGGGTTTCTAAACTAAGGGTGCTTTCCTTCATGTAACTAGCTTATCAGGAGTTTTTGAAGACAGTGAAATGTTACAGTTTAGTCAGTCTTTTAGTTTATGGAGTTTACATTTCAGAAACAGTCTATAGAAATTTCAGCAGTAAAATATTTTAATTTTTAGATGACATGATTAGAATGTTTTTGGGGGATTGGAAATGATTAACATGCATGACAGTATTTATTAAGTTGTCTCTTACATATTAGTATGATTAATGTTTGGTTTTAAGTCATGTGCATTTCACAGACTCTTTAGGCCCTATAGTTACTTAATTCATAATTTAGCCTTTGAATAAGTTTGTTCTCAGACTTCGCAATCAGATACATCTTTAATATGCGTTGACAAAGTTCACAGTGTTATCACTTGACTCTGGAGACTTTTCTTTTTTGGTCCAAGCTGTTTTGTAGTAGTAGTAGTCGTCGCCTTCGTCAAACTGACTAAATGTTTTTAAGCCGTTGATTGACCTAATCCCACCAAAACATTTAGCTGAATAATTATTTGTATAGTCTTGACAAAAGCTATTACTGTAGTATATCCTCTGTTTCCTTGAAAATGTTATGCAGATTAACCATTAGTAGTTCTCAATACTGGATGTACAATAAAGTCATCTGATGAGCTTTCAAAACATAACCTCCCTCACAGACTCTTAGGTGGGGTACTGGGGAGTGTCTGGGATCAGAATTTCAAAATATTTCCAAGCAGTTGTGTTATTATAGGCAGAATTGAGAACAACCAAAGGTTTGAAAATATAGAAGGCATACATCAAGAACCTTGTTTTTTTAAAACATTGTATATGAGCCAGGAACATTGACAATACCTGGGAGCTTTTTCAGAATCGCAGATTCTCAGGCCCTACTTTAGAATCAGAATCTAATCAGAGATCTTTTAATAAGATCTCTAGGAGTTTCATATACACATTAAATCTGAGCAGCATTGATCAAAAGTTTACATCTTTGAAATCTTAGAAACAAATTGTTTCCATTCATAAAGAATCATTTTAAGGAAATATATTTAATGAACTCCAAATGAGGGGGAAAAATTCACTGGTCAAATAGATATGGGAAAGGTTTTCTCTTTTGAGATTCACCATGCATAACATATACTGAAACTCTTAAAAGTCTTGCAGTAAAGAAACCCACTAATTTTCTTTCATGCAACCTTTTCACAACTCATTTAACCATAGAACTATTTTATTTACTTATTTTTTTAACTATAGAACTCTTACGTAACACTCATTTATATCTTAGCAAGTTCTGTTGATCAGATCTTGGGGAAGCTGGTCTGATATCTTTTGTATTAATTGATAAATATTCATGAAAATAAAGAAGTTGCATTTTCAAAGACTATAGATTTATGAAACCTTGATTCATCTTGAAATGCACAATTTTTCAGAGTTTTTGAATTACCTATATTCTTGGCTCTGTATAGCCCAATTTTAGGAAATTTAAGATTTACATTACTGGAAGTTCATTTGAAAAGCCCTGATTAGGTGTCTGCTGCTCTTGAAAATACTAGTTAAGAGTTTGCAATTCTGGATACATAAGGAAGTGGAATAGCAATAGAAAACACTGGTTTCTTCTTAAACTTATCTTTTTCTTATGCACTTTAACACCTCAACCATCATTTTTTATTACCTGCCTTACTGTTCTTGCTGTCCTTAGGGCATTTTTCTGCTTTTCCTTGTATGTAATAGGTAAATGACTTATGACCTACAATCCATTTTAAACCTTAGGTGTTTCATTAAAATGATTGCCAGATTATTGAAAAGTTTAACCTCCTTAATGTGACTACTAATGATTAAAGGAAAATGCAAACATGTCTTTGAATAAGATGATAAATACATAGCATTAATTTAGAAGACGAGGAGAGAAAAAGAAGATTACAGTTGAAATTTAGGACACTGGTATTTAAATAATCATTTCATTTTCTTTTAGGAACTCGAACGAGAAATCACATTTCAAGGTGACAGTGCCATTTATTATTCTTATTATAAAGATATGTTAAAAGCGCCCTCATTTGAAAGAGGTATGATAACCACATTTGTATCTTTTTAAATTACACTCTGCCTCCAACGTGGGGCTCAAACTCAGGAACCTGAGATCAAGAGTCATACGTTCTACCAACTGAGCCAGCCAGGCACCCCTCACATTTATATTTTTAATAACAATGTTTTCTAGGGGCGCCTGGGTGGCTCAGCTGGTTAAGCGCCTGGCTTCGGCTCAGGTCGTGATCTCGCGGTCCATGAGTTCGAGCCCCACATCAGGCTCTGTGCTGACAGCTCAAAGCCTGGAGCCTGCCTCAGGTTCTGTGTCTCCCTCTCTCTCTGCCCCTCTCCTGCTCATGCTCTGTCTCCTTCTCTCAAAAATAAATAAACATTAAAAAAAATTTTTTTAAAATAACGTTTTTCTAAAATAAAACATTGTTCTATGTGTGAGCACTTGAATGTGGAAAATTGTCTCAGAATAGAAGTATTACTCTTTTGGGGCGCCTGGGTGGCTCAGTCAGTTAAGTGTCCAACTTCAAGCTCAGGTCATGATCTCACAGTTTGTGAGTTCGAGCTCCGCATCAGGCTCTGTACTGACAGCTCAGAGCCTGGAGCCTGCTTTGGATTCTGTGTCTCCCTCTCTCTCTCTGCCCCTCCCCTGCTTGCTCTCTGTTTGTCTCTCTTTCTCTCTCAAAACTAAATAAATATTAAAAACATTATAAAAAAAGTATTACTCTTTTTTATACTTAATAAAGACATTGGAAAAATGAGGCACAGTGTATTGTATTTTGAGATTTTCTTAATAACTTAAAATATTTAATGACCTCTGACATGTTTAATTATTTTAAAGCAGAATAAATAATCTGGAGAAAAATTTTTCTGTCTCTAGGTGTTTATGAATTGACACACAATAACAAAACTGTATCTCTGAAGACTATAAATGCAGTGCAGCAAATGTCTCTATATCCAGAACTTATCGCCAGTGTTTTGTATCAAGCAACTGGTAGCAATGTATGTTTTCTTTTGACTTTAATATTTATTTTCTTACATGTTTATGAATCATTAAAATTATTTAATGTTCTATTATCTTTTCTTTTTTTTTTTGCCAATTAGGAGATTATTGAGCCAGTATACTTCTATATTGGCATTGTTTTTGGATTGCAAGGAATATACGTTACTGCTTTATTTGTTACAAGTTGGCTTATGAGTGGAACATGGCTAGCAGGAATGCTTACTGTTGCATGGTTCATTATTAACAGGTAAAAGATGTTTTCTTAATTAAGTTTTACAGTTTTTTATGGCTGTGGTATTTGGTTCTAAAAATGCCATCCCCCAAATATTCTACATCCTAATCCCAACCTGTAAATATGATGAGATATCATTCCTGGTTATGTTATGTTACATGGCACAGTTGACCTTAAGATACGAAGATTACGTGGTGGACCTGATACAATCATATGAGCCCTTAAAAGTGGAGATCTTTCTCCACTTGGTGCAGAAGGGGAGGTCAGAGATATTTGAAGCATGAGACAGGTTGCCGTGCTGTTGCTGGATTGAAGTGAGGAGGAAATGAATTTTGCCAGCAACCAGCGAACCTGTGAAAAGACCACAAGCCCTGCATGAGTATGGCAGCCCTGGCAGGTGCTTTGATTTTAGCTTAGGGAGTCCCTGAGCAAAGTACCCAGAGGAACTGGGGTAGGTTTTTTAGCTAATTTGTGTTGTTTTAAGCCTATACATTTGTGGTCATTTGTTATGCAACAATTGAAGACTAATAAACTCACCTTGTATCTCTGTATTTTCAGACGTAGTAACATTGGCATATATGGATGTGCCTTTTCTTTCCCTACTTATTTATTTATTTTAAGTTTTTATTTATTTTGAGAGAGAGAGAATGCAAGTAGTGGAGGGGCAGAGAGAGAGTGAGAGAGAGAGAGAGAGAGAGAGAATTCTAAGCAGGCTCCACACTGGCAGAGCGGAGCCCAGTGTGGGGCTCAAAGTCATGAGCCTTGAGTTCATGACCTTAGCCGAAGTCAGATGCTTAACTGACTGAGCTACCTAGGTGCCCCTTTCCTCTTTTATTTAAAATTGATGACACAATTTCATGAAAAGAAGGAAGAGGCATCAGATAGATCACTATTTTTTTTTCAACATTTATTTATTTTGAGAGAGGGAGAGAGAGTGAGAGAGAGAGAGAATCCCAAGCAGGTTCCACACTGTCCTCGTGGGGCCCAACACGGAGCTTGATCTCACAAACCTCAAGATTGTGACCTGAGCCAAAATCAAGAGTCAGAGGCTTAACCGACTAAACCCCCTAGGTACCCAAGATATATCACTATTAAGTTAACCACCACAGATAAGGATTCTATGTTAATCTGTCACAGAGTGCTTTGAATTAGTAAATCCATCCCTTTTGGTGATCAAAGCAGTCTCAGTTCTTTAATAGTAAGTAAAAAGAGAATAAGCAATGGGGTTTCTTTGAAATGGAGGGCTGATTTGAGACATAAAAATTTTCTTGGCATTGGTCAGTGTCAAAAATTTAATTCTGAATTATGGGTATTTTTTCTCTCCATAGCACTTTTCTCCCCTAACATTTATCATGACTAAATTTTTATTTTTTTCTTATTAAAATTTTTTTTAACATTTATTTATTTTTGAGAGAGCACGAGCGGGGAAGGGGCAGAGAGAGATGGAGACACAGATTCCGAGGCAGGCTGTAGGCTCTGGGCTGTTAGCACAGAGCCTGACGTGGGGCTTGAACTCACAAACCATGACAACAAACCATGAGATCATAACCTGAGCCAAAGTTGGATGCTTAACTGATGGAGCCACCCAGGCGCCCCATCATGACTAAATTTCTAAAAAATGAAATATTTCTTCTGTTACAACATTTTCTTTTGGCAATTCCCAAATAAAAAATATGATACTTTTCAAGTTATTGAGACTCAGCATTAAGGGCTATATCTTTTACTGGGCTTTGTTTATATTTAGAGTCATATGCTGCCAATAATTTGATATAAAGCATATTTTAAAAATCTTCCTTAGAAGTTTTAAAGTATAGCTGTTCAGCTTTATGGCTTAAACCTATTTGTTCTTATTATTTTTATTTTTATTTTTTATTTTTTTAAAGTAAGTTCTATACCCAACATGGGGTTTCAATTCACAGCCCCGGGATTGAGTTGCATGCTGTACTGACTGAGACAGCCAGGTGCCCCTAAACATATTTCTTCTTAAAAACAGGAATGAACCGGGGCACCTGGGTGGCTCAGTCGGTTGAGCATCCGACTTCGGCTCAGGTCACGATCTCGCGGTCCGGGAGTTTGAGCCCCGCGTCGGGCTCTGGGCTGATGGCTCAGAGCCTGGAGCCTGTTTCCGATTCTGTGTCTCCCTCTCTCTCTGCCCCTCCCCCGTTCATGCTCTGTCTCTCTCTGTCTCAAAAATAAATAAACGTTAAAAAAATTTAAAAAAAACAACAACAACAACAAAAAAAACAGGAATGAACCAAACTTTATTATTACAAAAACAGTATATGTATGTTATGGAAAATTAAAACCAGCAAAAACAAAATAATAACTTTACATTCCCACCACCTGGAGATCACTCACCATTGTTTATACCTCGGTGTCTATACTTTTGGATCTTTTTCTATGTGAGTATGTATGTGTATGTGTATATAGTGTATTTGTGTGTGTATTTTTTTTGTCAGAATGAAATATATTACACATACTGTTTTATATGCTGCTTTCTTTATTCAGCAGTCTACCTTTCCAATAACTTTTTTTTTTAAAGTAAACTCTATGCCCAACATGGGGCTTGAACTCACAACCCAGAGATCAAGAGTCATGTGCTGTACCGACTGAACCCCTCCACTTCAATAACTTTTTTTTTTTAAGTAGGGTCCACTGTGGGGCTTGAACTCAGGACCTTGAGATCAAGAGTCAGATGCTGTACTGACTAAACCATCCAGGCAGGCACCCCTCAATAACTTTTTATCTTACCTCTTACCCGTGTTGACCTCAGAATACCCCAAAAAGCTGGTTTGTCCAAACCAGCATTTAATCCAGGACCACATATTGCATCTGGTTGTTATGTTCTTTAATTCTTTTTTTCAAGATTTAAGAAAAAAATGTTGATTTATTTTTGAGAAAAGAGAGAGAGTGGAGTGAGGGGGTGGCAGAGAGAGAGGGAGACAGAGGATCCAAAGTGGGCTCTGCACTGAGAGTGGAGAGACTGATGCAGGGCTCAAACTCACGAACCTGTGAGATCATGACTTGAGCCAGGGTCAGATGCTTAACCCACTGAGCCAGCCAGGTGCCCCTCCTTATTTCTCTTTAAATCTAACGTAATCCCTTTTTTCTGTTGAAGAGACCAAGTCAGTTACCCTACAGAATATCCCACCTTATGGATTTCTCTTGTTGCTTCCTGTGGTGTCATCTAGCTTTTCCCTCTATTCCTTGTGTTTCTATAACCTGGAAGTTATATCCAAAGGCTTGATGAGTTCAAGGTAAACAGTTCTAGTTAGAATATATCATAGGTGGTATGTTTTTCGTGTTCCATGATATTTAAAAGTTACAAGGTATTTACTTGGCCTGCCCCTAGTGAGTCTGAGATTGCTGCTTTGGGAAATGACAGTCAGATTTCTTCATTGAATAGTGTGACTAGAAAATAATCTGTGCCCTTTTCAATGTTAACCATTTAGCTAAGGGTTGTAACTCTAGTTGATAATCTGCTGAAATTAGTAATTACATTAGGGTTTATTAAATTATATGTATCTATTTTCATTAGCTAGATTCTTCTTCAAAAGGTAAAATTTTTCTTTATTAATGAAGGTTCTTTGGTTACCTTTAAATACAGTTACTATTAGAAAGTCAGGAGGCACCTGGGTGGCTCAGTCAGTTAAGTGTCAGACTCTTGATTTCAGCTCAGATTATGATCTCAGCGGTCATAAGCCCTGGTTGGGCTCCACACTGAGTGGCTCCATGCTTAAGATTCTCTTTCTCTTGGGGCGCCTGGACGGTTGGGCAGCCGACTTTGGCTCAGGTCATGATCTCATGGTTTGTGAGTTCAAGCCCCATGTCGGGCTCTGTGTTGACAGCTCAGACCCTGGAGCCTGCTTCAGATTCTGTGTTTCCGTCTCTCTCTGCCCCTCCCCTGCTTACGCTCTGTCTCTCTCTCTCTCTCTCTCTCTCTCAAAAATAAAAATAAAATAAAGTAAACCTATAAAAAAAAAAAAAGATTCTATTAGAGTTCATTCTATTCAGAGTTCATTCTATTAGAGTTCATTGTTAGATATTTAATAGCCCACTCAAAGTATTTCAGAACTCATAGACTAGGTCTAGAAAGTCTTCCTTTTTAGAGTGAAATGTATTTAGTATAAAACTAACATTATTTAAAATAATAAAAGGATTGTTTTCTTCATTATGTGATGTATTAGTTATTGCTGCATAAAAATCACCCTAAAACTTAACAGCTTAAAACAAACATTATGTCACAGTTTCTGGTGGTCAGGAATCCACAGTGGCTTAACTGGGTGGTTCTGGTTCAGGGCCTGTTATGAGGGTGCAGTCAAGAGTTGTTTAAGGGTATAAACATTTGAAGGTTTGACTGGCCTGGACCATCTACTTCCAAGCTCATTCATGTGACTTTTTACAAGAAACCTTCGTTCTTTAGCTGGTTATTGGCCCGGGAGACTTTAATTTTTCAACACACAAGCCTCACCGTAGGGCTGCTCACAGCTTGGCTGCTGGCTTTCTTTATAGTGAGTGATCCAAAAGAGTGTGGAGTGAGTGTGCTGTAGTGGAAGCCAAGTAATGTTTATTTATTTTTGAGACAGAGAGAGACAGAACATTAACGGGGGAGGGTCAGAGAGAGAGGGAGACACAGAATTTGAAGCAGGCTCCAGGCTCTGAGCTGTCAGCACAGAGCCCGACGTGGGGCTCAAACTCACAGACCTGCGGAGAGCTCCATGACCCATCTGGAAGCCGAGGCTCAACCGACTGAGCCACCCAGGCGCCCCTCCAGATCTCTTTTAAAATTTAATTATCAGAAATGATAGGACATTACTCTGCCATATTCTGTTGATCATGCAGACTAACTCCAGTGCATTATGGAAGTAACTACACAGGGTGTTAATACTAGGAGGCAGGGACCATTGCAGACCATCTTGGAGACTGGCTACTACAGGCAGGGAACTTTTTGTTTTTTAAGTAGGCTCCACGCCCAGCACAGGGCTCAAACTCATGACCCTGAGATCAAGAGTCAT